ACCCTAGCTTTTCCACTCAAATCCACGAAAACTCGCTGCAGTTTCTCAACTGCTCGGGTCGATGTCTTGTTGGGGATGGGCTTGGAAAGCCCCTTCGCCGGCGAGCACCCCAGGCACTCCCGGAGCTCGCCCACCAGCGTCGTCCCTTGCTGCTTCGCCGTGGTCCTCAGCAGCACCTCGTGGGAGTGGCCGTGCGCGCAGTGAAAATCGTTGATGTCAACGGGGGCGCTGGACGCTTTCGCGTTGCCAGGAACAATTGCGGCACAGGCATGTTCGGTGTGTGTGCGGAAACCGTTTTGGACGTACAGGTTACCGCATCGGGGGAAATACACCGACTGCCCCCCCCCTCTCTCATTTTCCAACTCGTGTTTATTGAGGGTTTTGGTTTCGAACCCATCGTCGAAGAGGGAAGTGAGAGATACTAGGTTGTAATCTAGTCGGGGAACGTGTGCAATCCGTTTGAACAACAGGTCGGTTGTGCCGTCGCGCGAGCTATGGGTTACCGTCACGTCGCCATACCCTATGGGGAAAAAGGTTTCTCCGGCGGCGACGCGCACCCGTCAATCACACTCTTCGTAACGAACGAACCCATCTGAGTTCGCGAACATGTGGGTGGTAGCGCCGGTATCGGCAACATACCTACCCCGCCTAGCCTGCTCTACACCCCCTCGACCAACGACTTTGTGACACTCGCCTGAGATGCCACCGACCACCAGCTCCTCTTCTGCCACATCCAGTGCTGTGGCGTTCGCAGACGCCCCCCCCACTGGCACTTCCACCACGAGCACCGCCTCTTCGGTCGGGCACTTGCTCTTGTCGTGGCCGTAGCCCTTGCATGTCTCACATCGCACGGGCTTGCTCTCGGGGCAGTTGGCCACCTGGTGGCCCTTCTTACCGCACCGGAAACAGCGACCGCGCATGCTACCCGCATCGTCGTCGCCGCCTCCGCTGCCGCCTCCAGCCTTCGCGCCACCCCCTCTCCCCTTCTGGTTGCCGCCGCCGCCGCCGCCACCCTTGCGGCGGCCGCCGTTGCCGCGGCCTGGCGCTCCTACCCCNACTTCGCTTGTTGGTACTCGAGTGGGAGGGAACCAACGAAGTGGGCGAGTACAAATGGTGCATCAGCGTTGACCNCCGCTGGCCCTTCGAGGCCTTCCTCCCCTCCGGAAGGCTCGCGTGCACCATGCTCACGATTCTGACAATCTCGGCCCTATCCAGCGCCGTTACTGTCTCCAACAGGAACTTCGCTTGTTGGTACTCGAGTGGGAGGGAACCAACGAAGTGGGCGAGTACAAATGGTGCATCAGCGTTGACCCCTTTTTCGCGTAGGCGTGAGTACAGCAGCTCGAGCGAGTACAGGTGCTCGATTGGGTTTCTGCTGCTGTGTGTGGGGATCGTGAAGTTGAACATTTCTTCATGAGGGCTTGTTTCGAGCCCTGCGATCCCGGATCGTAGATATTGTGGAGTTCCGCGAGGATCTCTTTTGCTATCTGTCTGGACCTCGTCGCTGGTGTATTGGTGGCGGAACAGCTCCGAGCTTGGCACGGTTGGGTTGCCGACAGGTGCATGTCTCTCGTTGTTGCCGATCAATTGGCCGTCCAGTCCTGCAGTCTTGGCCGCTTGGATAAGCGACTTTCTCCACAAGTCATACCCATGGCCGCGACTCTACCCTTCGATACGCGATGCATTGACTGTTACTCTCTTCATGTGGCTACTGCTGTAGCCGTCGAGGTATTCTGCATTTCCTCGGATCACGAGTATCTCACCTGGGGGGTTTAACCCCCTCGCTTCCCCGTAGTCCGGTCCTATGCCCGTGCCCACTCCGGCTGGTCATACAGGGTTCGCTCCCGATCTACTGGCCCAGCCGCCTTCCAGCAGCTGCCGTGGTCCTTGCCCACCATCTCTCGCTTGCTGCTGGAGAAATCCCTCGCCACCGCCGAGCGGCTGCATGGGCTCTACTCGTTGGCCTTCGGTNGCCGTCCAGTCCTGCAGTCTTGGCCGCTTGGATAAGCGACTTTCTCCACAAGTCATACCCATGGCCGCGACTCTACCCTTCGATACGCGATGCATTGACTGTTACTCTCTTCATGTGGCTACTGCTGTAGCCGTCGAGGTATTCTGCATTTCCTCGGATCACGAGTATCTCACCTGGGGGGTTTAACCCCCTCGCTTCCCCGTAGTCCGGTCCTATGCCCGTGCCCACTCCGGCTGGTCATACAGGGTTCGCTCCCGATCTACTGGCCCAGCCGCCTTCCAGCAGCTGCCGTGGTCCTTGCCCACCATCTCTCGCTTGCTGCTGGAGAAATCCCTCGCCACCGCCGAGCGGCTGCATGGGCTCTACTCGTTGGCCTTCGGTGGCGGCAACCCAGCCGCCACTACTGGCTACATCCGCCACGACGCTGCCAGGCTCCTTCTTCTTTATCGACTCCTCCACCAGGGCCGCCAATCGCGAAACCTGCAGTTGCTAACTTGCAAGCTCCGCATCGCGGCCCTCCTGCACCGGCGGGCGGATCTGTTCTCCGCTCGCAGCAGTGCGCTTTACGTCTCCAGCAGAGCTCATTCCAATGTGGCTTCCCTCGAGGGGCTCTCTAGAGTGTTTGCGGCTTACGCCACATATTTATCGGGTGAGACTGTTTCGGTGATGTATTAACTTCACGAGAGGTAGATGACCGTCCTTCACACGGACGAAAGAGGTAGTGCTCACAGAGCGGCTCCCACAGCAAGGAGGGGACCCGTGAATCATCGTNGCCCTCCTGCACCGGCGGGCGGATCTGTTCTCCGCTCGCAGCAGTGCGCTTTACGTCTCCAGCAGAGCTCATTCCAATGTGGCTTCCCTCGAGGGGCTCTCTAGAGTGTTTGCGGCTTACGCCACATATTTATCGGGTGAGACTGTTTCGGTGATGTATTAACTTCACGAGAGGTAGATGACCGTCCTTCACACGGACGAAAGAGGGAGTGCTCAAAGAGCGGCTCCCACAGCAAGGAGGGGCCCCGTGAATCATCGCGGTGCCCCCTATCAAACGGTTATCTTACCAGTCTGCGTGACACAAAATCATCCAGCACATGTATCCAACACCAATGTTCGCAGACCCACGGACACTGTGTGTGTTCGCCCCATCTATTGTGGCGCCGGTTTAGAGGCCTTTCGGTGAATATACCTAACGTCTCAGTGGGGATCAAACAAACAAGAGGAAGGTCACACAAGAGATTTCTTCATTTCTTGTTCTGTTTCATTGCTCCACCTTCCCACCTTTCCCCCTGCGGTGCTTGCCTTAGTTTTGTGCTGATCAACTAGGAAGGGCCAATCTATCACTACGGGGTCGGGCATGATGCACGGTTGTCTGTATCGTTGAGGCAACCTGTTGATATGTTCACCAGCCAATGATGACCGGTATCTGCAGCATCCATGTTGTGCTTAACTTGTACCAACCGAGGGAGACAGCATACAGCAGCTGTAGCGTACACATGCAAAGAACGCGGCGAAACACTGCGGTAGAGTCTACAAAGACCACGAGGACTGGTTTGCCCTTGGGTTCGAACTCGAGCACCATGTGCCCCCTTTGACTATTTATTACTGTAGATAGAGCACCCGTCCATGGATCGAAATTCCCAGGATGTCGCTTCGGCGGATGATAGTTCTCGCAAAAAATACAGCCTACTTTGTGTTATTTCGTTATTTCTGCCCCCTGCCAATGCAGCGCGCACTAAAGTCACTAGCGGGAAGACTGCTGCTGCATCTGCACTAGACTATTTAGTACAGGCTCGCGTACACTACTCCTGCTGACGATGACACGATTCGAGCATGCGCTTACCTGTAGCTGGTCCTCGTCTAGTTGAGAAGTACTACTTTTTCCATGCATCCCCACCTCCCCCCCAGCTTTCGGGCCGAGAGATCTGCCTCCCACCCCAACGTTCGCCGCCCTTGATGGCATGTTACGGTGTTTGGAGAGGGTATGCTTGCGGCTGCCGTGCGTCGATCGATCGTTCAGACCAATATTTATGTGCAAGGCACTCCTCTAATTTACAGTTGTACTTTCTCACAATGGTTGCGGTATCAATGTCGGGAGAGTTGCTCGAGCTTAGAGTGGACAACAGCAAGGGCGGAGGGGATACCACACATACCAGCTCGGGCGAACCTCGAACGAGAAGGGCGGACAAACAGAAAAAGACGGGTGATGGTTTCAGATTCCGCCTCCTGGGTGGAAAACCGCTCTCATTTTTTTCCTACACACACTGTACAGTCCCAAGGGCTGTCGTCAGTAATTCCTCCGCGTTTTCCATCGACTCTCAACTCTCAACTCTTGGACTCCTCTCCCCCGGCGGCTGCGCATGCGATAGAGAGAAAGGGAGTCAATCTTGCCCCCGTGGTGCTATTCCCTGTGTGATGAAATCCCGCGCTTCATCCCTCGCTGCGGTTTTATTCGCCGTGACGCCCGCTAACGTGGGTGCCTTCGTGCCCAGCTCAGTCCGCTTGGGATCATGTTTCGGAAGACACGCGTGCAAGGTCAAGGCCGGGGAATGGGGCTGTCATGACGGCCCTTGCCGTGGTGCCATGCTGGCGAGGAGAGCGAGGCGATGGAGCACAATGACAGCGGCACAAGAAGAGAGCGCGGAAGCCTCGGACGAGAGCGGCGGCAGCAGCAGCAAGCACCAGGAGGAGGAGGACGGAGAGGATGCCGTCTGGGCACGGGCGGAGCTACCGATGAGCAACGACGTACAAGTGGAGCAAGCAACTCGTGCGGTGTGGCAGGTGCGTGAGGGAGCACCCTGGTAACTTGCAACGAATATTCCCTTGTTTCCACTTGCCTGCTCTACGAGGGACCCACACTGTAAAGTTTTTACACGCTGCACAACTACTTCAGTTGGTCGTTGTTTGCCAGACAACGACTCTCCTTCCAGGAGGGTGCGCACCCAGTTGCCTGCAGACGACTACTCGTCCAGGAGCATGCGCAGCCAGTTGCCTGCAGATAGATACTCTTCCGGAATCGTGCGCACCTAGTTGCCTGTAGACAACTACTTTCCCAGAACCCTGAGCACCTAGTTGCCCGCAGACAACTACTCCTCTAGGAGCGTGCGTACCAAGTTGCCTGCAGACAACCACTCTTCCAGAATCGTGCGCACCTAGCTGCCTGCAGACAACTACTTTCCCAGAACCGTGAGCACCTAAATATTTGCCTGCAGACAACTACTCTTCCAGGAGCGTGCGCAACTAGGTGTTTACGAGCTACTTGCGGGTAGTTGTCTGGCAAACAACTAACTTAGTCATTAGTTACGTTGGGACATGAATCGATTGGTTCGAATTATGAACTCCTCTGCGTGCCACGGGTGGACCAACGAGCCAGTACTGCTGTAGACGGCACTAGATGGACCACGTGATGCACATGCTCAACCCTCCCCACGGTGTGGCATCTCTAGTTGAGAACACGGTAGCACATAACGCCATCGCGCGAGACCAGAGTACTTACTGCGGTTGAATCCTGCTGGTTGAAACAGCTCGTTCGCCCGCCGCTCAAGCTTGATGGGCACGGCCATGTCTTAGATGATGCGCATGAGCGGACAATAAATAGGCGAGATTCCAGAACATGAACCACTGTGCACGGCATGAGTGTATGTAGTGTATACGCCCAAAGGCTATGTAGGAAAGAGGTGATAGGAAGTCGACTGGAATGTCGAATAAGAAAGTTGAGCCTGAAGACGTCTACTCTTCCAGGAACGTGCACACCTAGTTGCCTGTAAACAACTACTCTTCTAGGAGCGTGCGCAACTAGGTTTTTACGCAAATTAGTCGGTAGTTGTCGGGCAAATAACTAACTTAGTTATTAGTAACAGTTGTACAGAGTGTGAAAGTTTTCGAAGTCCGTAAACCCTGCCGCCCCGTTGCGCGTGTTCTCTGCCGCTTTCGTAGGCTCTCTCTGACGGTAAGACTCGCCAGATTTTGAGGCTGTCCCTCCCTTTGATCGGGAAAACCGAGATCGACGACTGGCCGGGTGGGGATCGACAACGCTACAAGGCCTGTGGGCCAATGGTAGAAAGCGTGTTGCGTGGAAATCCAGCGGCAAAGGTACTGACGCAGGGGTACGTTGTTACATCTCACCATTATCCTCGCCAAGTATCCGTACACGATGTATTGTAATACCGCCGCGTACACTACCAAATTTTATCAACCATGCAGATTAGTGCCACAGCAACAGCAACCTTCTCGCTGCGTGTAGTGCATTGAGTCTGCTTCCACGGAGCGAGACCACGCATAGCAGGGGAGGTATTTGGGCACCGTTGTTTTGCAAAAATGCCCTCATTTAGGGATTTTTACGTAGCTCTGCTATTTTGTGTGGTTTGGGGCGAGGGCAAGATGGTCCATGGAGGGTTGCGAACTCTAGGCTAGGCATCCTCACGATGATCAATGGCGATGAAACGTTGGGGCATGTGTAGAGTAACGTGGACAGCACTGACGTGGGTTTTGGTGAGGAGGCCAGAAGGAGGGGGGGCAGGGAGTGGAAAGGGGACGAGCCGATAGAGAAGGGCGACGAGGGTGGCGGGCAAGCGACCGTCAAGTGATTGAGCCACGCCTACAATCGGACAGATGAAGCCTGCGATTTGTCTATCCGGAAGGATTTGTCCCGCCGGCGTTGGGCGTTACAGATGGACAAAAGTAGGCGTGTTTGGTTCAAGGGACCCCCACCTTACGCAGATGACCGCGCATTCGATAGCTGGATCTACCTCGCCAGAACACGGTCGCCTAAATTTGACAGTCTGCGAGCGTGAGTAACGAAAAAGGGCGTTTTGTCCAACCTGCAAGGACAGAGAATCTGCGCTACTCAGGCCAGTTGCGACGTCCAGCACCCCGCTACCACCGCCTGTTCGAAACGGACTGTCAACTATTGCCAGGTTGCGAGACTTCTCTGTGGAAGTAGACGTCCTGAAGCAATCTTGCTCCATTTTGGGACGGATGCATGGCGAAAACGCTGAATCATTTCCTCAAAAGCGAGCAACGAATGACATGAGCACACCACGATCCCCACTCCCCTCCTCACAGGAAGGCGCGTCGATTGTGGAGCAGATTCTTGACGAGTCTGACGCGGTGGGGCTCATGCAGCTACAGTGCAAGGAGGCCAAAGACGACGCTTCCGTCATGATTTTTCCGACAACGGACACTCTCTCCTTGCAGCAGCAGGTGAAGGTTAAGATTTGCAAGCATTGCGTCCGCTCTGCCCGTGCTTTACTGCCATCCGTGTACAGTACAAACTATAGCTCCAGGCGCTGTTGAGGTTGGCGGCAGCCAGTGAAATGATGCTGTGCCATCACTACCGCATACAAATGCAAATGTTAGCTTTGAAGTTGTAGGTTCAATCAGGGGGGTGGCACAACGTCCGGCACCCGGCGGCTGGCACTGCTTGTCGATCTCACCGCGTTTTCACCTCGCTTCGGCCCCACTCCGTTGCACCTTTCTGCGGGGTAGATACGGTACCCCACAGCCATTTTCCTCTATCACAAGCAGCGCTTGTGCACATAATCCCCTTCCGTTTTGCTCGCCAATATGTAGGCCAACTGACTCAAGATCGACCGCAGTGGTACTATAGTCATGTGCCCCGCTTGTTCAGTGTATCCGAATCTTTCACCGCCACCCCTCACCCCCGTGGCCAAAACCCGCGGGTACAAAATCGCAAACGGGGGATTAGGTAGCGGCGGGCGCCGGCTCCCGGCTCGTGGCGCTCGTCAATCCTGCATGGAGGTCCTCATCAGACTTCGGGCTGTTCCAGGCCGGAGAAGCAGAGGAGACGCTGTCCGAGTTTGAGGTCACCTACTCGCTCCAGAGCCTTGTAGTCTACGGTTACACGGTGAGAACACCGATCGGCCTGAATCCGATCACCGGGCTCCCTTTTTTATGATTGTCCCTCGATGCTGGTTGTTTCCTTTTTCTTTCGATATTTGCCTACGGGAAATTGGGCGTTATAGTTCCTCGATCTTTGCTTATTTTCCTTTCGTTTTTTTCTAGTGCTCGTGTGGCGGAAGCCAACTCATCGATGTGGCATTGTCTGACCAAGTTTGTGTCGTAGAGTTCAGCGCTGCCTTCTCCCTCCACAGAAGCTTGTGGTCAAGCCCACACACCCCATCACCCTGAGGGTTGCACCTCAACAGACATGAGCAGGAGTACGCAAGTATTTCCACTCACACACCCCGCCGTCGCTCCCTCACGGGGTGGTTCTCTCTCTCTATACATACATATCGAACAGCTACGGCTGCTGTACTGCTACCCTGGCCCGTGGAGGCTCTTCCTCATCGGTGAAGGCAGCGGAAAGCGCGAGCTCCTGGGTTCTTGGGACCGAAGCCCGCCAACAAACGACCAAGTGGAGAGCGCGGTGTTCGACAAGAAAGGAAAGCCGAACGCCTCGGAAAGGGTCCAGGCTAGCGCAAAGTTTTTCCAGGATAGCTTATGATGTTTGCGCTACAAAGTGCGTCACGATATATCCCGAGGGTAGAAAACACAGTAGTTAACGAGGTTTCTACAGTACAGCAGCCCGCTCGTAAATAGCAGTACAACAGCCCGCTCGAAAATAGTGCAGCAAAGATAGATCTTATATTGGAGTCTTCTCATCCTGAACAGCGTTGTGACTCTCCAAGTAAATTCGGCCGGCAGTAGAGTATCGCAGCACGCCACATGTTATCCGTGGCTGATGTGGCATTGGCTTTTTTGTTTCTTTTTAGGCCATAGCGCAAGCATCGTAGAGAAAGATGTAGCCAAAGATGATGCGGGGACGACGAGAAGCAATAGAGGAGATTACACCCCACACCACCAACTACTGTCGCTGTTTGGCGGTATACAGATGCTTGTCGGGAGGGAGGTACAGACTCATGGCGACAGCTTTGAACGGGGAGAGTGTAGGTGGGTGGACGACGAGTGTTTCCATGGCCGATTAGATTGGCAAGCGTGCGCGTGTGCGTCGAGAGGTGGCGCATCGCCGGGCTCGAATATGTTGAGCACACCGGACGCAATGGACACCGACGCAAACACTTTCAAACACACAAAAGTAAAATAATGTCCATGCGGGAACCCACGGAAAGGAATAGGCGCCGCACTCTTGGCGGTGGTCTCATCATGTTGGAAATCAGAGGCTTCGGGTCTGCGCAGAATGTAGTCATAAACAGGTCACTGGTGGGATTGCCTACGCTAGATTGCTTGGTGTATTGTTGTCAGCGAACGTCAGATCTGCTGAAAAGCGATCCTCACTAAAACAAAGATAGTAGTTTATCTGTTCAAAGTGACCTGTGCTACGGCGGTAAGTAGCAGCAGAAGTGTGTGCCACACCATTGTGACATGTGACAGGTGTGCGGAGATGCACTGTACACGTGAGTTTACAACCAAATGGAATTTGGCTCGAAGAGAAATACTGAGAAGGGACGCTGGGCAGGAAGCAGAGTGCGTTCCGGTGGGGGTTGTGCGCTCTGCCTGGTCGGCGTTTTGGTGGATTACCAACGACACCACGAAGAACCTTAGTAACAGTCCGGAACCGATCCGGGATATAAATACCGTCTTCAAATACCGTTCTATCAGACCAAAAGCACGTTCCGGAACTGTTCCGGGAACCTTTCTAGTGTTATTCTGGACTTTTTCTGGGAACGTTCCTGAGAACCATTCAAGGAAAATGTGTCCGGTCTAGGAAACATTCCACGAAACGTTACGGAATCCACGGCATTCATCAGTGGATCTTCCTAGATGCCTTCCCTGAAATACTGTTCATCACGTTGGATTTACTTCCTTAATAGCTTATGATACCACGTTGAGTGTGCCATGTCACCCATACTGAAACTGGTGTTATTTTTGCTACTGAAATCGCTCATGGTGTATGTGACATCATATACCGTGCTGTATTCAAGATACCACCAAAAACAGCAGTCTTTATCAGTTGATCCTGATAATTTTAGCACATAATCTGGGTGATACGTTCTTGACATCGTCTTTCAGGTCATTTGGCTGCGGCTGGGGGTGCATTGAGCCGCACTGCGTGTGTCTATCTACTGGTGTGTGCCCGAGCTACCAAATCTCAAACGACCGCCCACCTCTAGTCTTCAGAGAAGACCCGCGGAACGTCGTGAAATCGTACTGGCGCTAATCAAGTCCATGGAACGATCACACTTCCCGTATGCCTTCGCCTTAGTTAACTTCAGCACTCCTGTTTCTCTCCCCCCCAAGACAAAGCCATCCAAGCAGTGATGCGAAGGAGTGCAGCATGCCTCCCCTTCTTGGCGCCGAATACCCCACCGCCTCCCTTTTGGAGGCCGGGAAGAGGCGGGGTGCCAAACCGCCCTCTTCTTCCGCCGCCATCCGCCTCCACGTCCCACTACAAATTACTGCGACAACATCAACACCGCCCTGGCCTGTGTGTTGCCGCATGCAGGGTCACGTGCGCATGGACTGCGGTGGCCCAATGGCCTCCCCTGCCGCTGCTGCCGATGCCACGGCCGCCGCTGTCGATCCATCCGGCTGCTGCTGCTGCTGCTGCTGCTGTTGCTCGCAACCCCCCACGTCCAGTCTCGGAGCCGTTTGAATGGCCGCGTGCATCGCCGCCGGCCCCGGCTGCATCGCTTCCGGCTGCATCACCGCTTGAGGCTCCTCCTCCTGCTCCTGCTCCTGCTGCTGCGAATAGTTTGCCTTTCCCGATTCCGGCGGCGGTGCCCCTTCCATCTGCATCTGCATCAGGGCTTGTGCTCCCTGGTGTGGTCGGTCTGCAGCAGACGCAGAAACGCCTGAGTTTTGCGACGTCTCCGATGACGGTAGCGGTGGTACCTCTGTCACCCCATTCGACCGTTCCTGCTCCTGCTTCTCCTGCTGTTGCAGGTCCGGGCTGGTGGAGTCCTCGCTCTCTGCCTCATCGGTTGCCTGCGTGGGAGCGGCCGCGGGGAAGACACCCAACCTTCCCGATTCGCTGCCGTCAGCACCACTGCCGCCCGCGTGTGCATCGATGCCGCCGCTGCCGCCGGCACCACTCTCCCAAGCCGGCTGTTGGACCCTGGGGGCTACGCTCCCTCCTCCAGCACCTCGCGTAGAAGCCGCTCTTGTCGACCCGCCAGCCGGTACTGCAACCGCTAATGAAGCGGCAACAGGAGCTGCTGCTGGTGCTGGTGCTGGTCCTGTTGCTGTTGGTGCTGGTGCTGGTGCTGGTGCTGGTGCTGGTGCTGCTTGTGGGCTCGGAGCGAACGCGTTACCACCAAAGTTACCAGCGCTAACGGCGCCGGCGCTAGCACCAGGCGCCCCCCCCTTCTTCCTGTTCAGGGCCATGTGTGCCCTGACGAGGTCGTTGGAGGTTAACGCCGCCAACAGGGACAGCTCTCCCGCCATCACGGTCGCCGCAATCACGCAAGCCAAGCGCCTGGCGCCCTTCTCTCGGGGGGCGGCAGACGAACTTCCTGGTGAACCACCACCGCCGCCGGACTTCCTAGCCCCCGCCCCCGGTGCCTTGCCCTTGCCTTTTCCTGGAGTTGCAGCTGGCGGCAGGGGAGTGTCCGCCACTACGCCCACCGGGCAATCGCCGGCCCTAGCGATCGGGGTAGTCGCAGCCTCATCGGCCACGGCGGCGGCGATGACGCCGGGGAGCGGGGATATCGCCGCGGCGGCCTCGGCGACAAGGCCGATAGCCGTGGGCTGTTCACCGCTGCCATCGCCGCCACCACCGCCACCGTCGTTGCCGCCGGTGTCTTCGTCGATGCTGCCCGGGATGCTGCTGCTGCTGCCACCGCCGCCATCTCCGCCACCGCCGCCGCCGCCGCCGTTCTCGCCTTTCGCGCTCGGATGGCCAGGAACACTCACTGCATCCCCATCAACCCCAGCTTTCTGAGAGCCAATCTGAGCACCATCACCACCGCCGCCACTATCACCAACGCCACTATCACCAACGCCACCATCACCACCAGCGTCCTCGACGGACTGGCCGCAACCCATCAGCCGGAGGCACGCGGACTGCGCGGGGAGGCCAGTGCCGCCGCCGACGGTACCCACCAGAAGCGACGGCATCGTCACCGTCACACGGAGATCGCCGGGCCGGCCGCCGCCGCTCCCTTCCTCGCCGGGCTTGACCTTCTCCATGAGCGTGATGCAGCTGCTGCCCTCGACGGTGTGGGCGGGGTCTTGACCCGTGGCCAGGAAGACGGCGGCTACCACCTGGCGCGAAAATAAAAAAAGGAGCGCGCGCGGGATGTGATGTGCCGCGAGGATGACGTCGTCATCTCCATGTTGTTGTATTGGTATTGGCGGTGCGGCTGTGGTACTTGTTGCTGTTGCCGGTGCGACTGTGGTGTTGTTGGTGATATCTTTGCTTTGGAAAGCCGTTCCGATCTCTGCTCAGTACCTTCCAACATCAGTACCGGACCAACTGACGGGGACTCCTTCAGTAGAAAACAAACCAAGACCCAGAAAAACCATCACAAACACGATGGTACAGCACACAACATCACGGCGAGAGCAGCAGCGCCCATGACCAAATACCAACAGCACGGGGGGCTAGCGGTGTTCATCACCTATTCAAAGAGACCTGTTGGGTAGGACTGCTGCGGGGGAGGTTGTTGGTGACGACGAGCACATCGTCATGAAACGAGGAGAGGTGTCACTACTACCGCTGTATCCACACAAACAAAAAAAAAGAACATGACAGAAAAAGTCTCACGTTCGCGGCGTGCGAGTTAAAGCCGCCAATGCTCCCGGCCATGGCTGACCCGACGAGGTTCTTGGAGATGTTGCACTCCACCATCTTGTCCACCGTGGTCTTGAGGACAGAGGACACGGTTTTCGCCGACAGTACCGCCTCGGCCTGCGCGGAATTCCGTGAAAATGATGGAACGGAAAAAAAAAAGCCAAGGTTTCATTTCTCGTCGGTGATGGAATGTACACACACGGTTTAGCCGCGCTGAGAGTAACGTAACGTCTTGTTCAGCCGGCTATTGTGGTAGCGCGGTCGATGTTACCTACCGAAACACACACAAGGAGTTCTTTTAATCCGGGGTGTAGCTTAGCCTCCCCCATGGCGCCCCCTCACGGGGTCCCAGATCATGGCCTTCTAGAACCTTTCGTCCTTTTTCAACCGCACTGAGACTAACGACTTTTCATTGGTCAGCCGGTTTGCGCGGTCGATCCCAAGAACAAACACACATACGCACACACACACACACGGTACACCGAGCCCCTAAAGCTTTTTTGTCAGCAGTAAACCTCACCACGACAGACTTTCCTCGCCCTTCGACCCAGTTCTGCGCCGACGCCTTCTTGTCGGTGCACACGTTGCCCGACAACGCCACAAGTCTCGCTTGCTTGAATCGCTTCTGGATCTCTCGCACCGCGGCCTCGCAGCCTTTGCTGATCATGTTCATGCCCATGGCGTTCCCTTGTAGTAGAAGATAAGAATAAACAAAGTCACGCGTATCCGAACAAATGAATACAGACCGGGGGGGCACGTAGAGCGGAGGTGGGGAAGAAATCAAACACAGGAGCCAAGACAGGAACAGCAAAAGACCGAAAGAGAGAGATAAGCACAGAGAGGAGAGAGAGAGAGTGAAAGAGAAAGAAAGAGAGAGAGAGAGAGAGAGAGAGAGAGAG